CCATAAAAGGAAGGTGCATTCTCATTATAAATCAATGTATTTGGAAATGTGTCAGGCAATCTGTAGGATGTAAAGTTTTAGAAGTCAGAAGGGTGGGCCCATTTGTAAGCAACCAAACTTACCTTCACTTGATCCAAGATTACCAGTGGCCCATTGACTCCAGATACTGTTTTATATGCTGAAAAGAAGTTAAAAAAACTTATTTGGACAAAGTAATATGTTTTGGATGAAAGGCACATTGACAAGAAGGGATGATGCATTGTTCTGCAACCATGGACCCCTTTTCTACAAGTACACAGTCCTCAGCTGCAGCTACTACTAGGAGAGATCCCACAGTTCAAAGGCAAGGGCACATGTTTGGCCTGCATGATGTCCTAGGTTCAATCCCTGGTATTCTCCAGTTAAGGGATCTCAGGTAGCATGGCTGAGAAAGATCGAAATCTAGGGAGAGCTGCCGCAATAACCAACATTGTGTCATCTGGAACAATGGCTTGACTCTAGTAGAAGTCAGTTTCAGATGAACCATTTTGATGTCTGGGTAGCAAAACCTTTGTATTTCAGAGGAGCAGCATTAATCATTTATGACTGAACAATGGTGGATACAAAGCACTCCTTGCCAAGAACATTGGGCAGGTATTTTTGGCCTCACTCTCCTGTTGCTGCTCCCACCTGTATGACTCCTAGAGAGGAGAACCAACTCTCTTTCCCTAGAAACTAACACAATAGATTGCCACTCTGGGACAAACTTTCTTGGGACCTCAGCCATCTTCCCCCTGCTTCTAACCTCAGGAAGAATGCTTAGGTACAGGGAATATGAATTTGCACCAGATGATTTCCTTCAGAAAACAGTAAGAAGATGGGTGGGGTAAGGAACTATTAGAAAGGAATAAACCTTCTTCATTTAGGAATCATCTCCCCCCCTGCCAAGGTCACCAAGCCCTTGCGTGCAGTCTCACATGATCTATGAATACAGAAGTGTCTTAGTGAACCACATGGCTTTGCCAGGCTCACAAGACGATGGGCTAATCATTAATCAGCCACCCCTGGAAGTTGGGGAAAGGATGAACAAGTCCAATGGTTCCTACAACAGGAGAACAAACTAACATGACTAAGACAGCAATTCTAAGCACACTCAAGATCCATGGAACTTAGTGGGATTTGCAGTCAAGTGAGCATGCATAAGATCAGGCTGAGAGAGCAACAGGGCATTTGTGCACGTACAGATAGGAGTAAAATGACAATCCCATCTGATTATTGGGGACCAGTGACTTGAACAGGTTCAAAGTTTGAGTCCAGTGGCACCTTTAAAACCAACAAAGCTTTATTGTAAACATCCGTGTGCAAGCACACTTCCCCAAACAAAATGGAATAAAATCTCCTCAGGTGCTACTTACAGGGGGAAAAAAAGGGCCCCTCAGAGCCAAGATGCATATGCAGGGATGAAACTGGATCAGGTGGCTGCCATTCATTGATCTTACCTGCCACCTGATCCAATTTCAGCTCTGCATATGCATCTTGGTGCTGAGAGGCTCAACCCTCTTTTTCCCCCCTGTAAGTAGTGCTTGAGAAGATTTTATTCCATTTTGCCTGAGGATGTGTGCTTGCACACAAAAGCTTACACTCTGAATACAATTTTGTTGGTCTTAAAGAAGAGAAGAAGAGATTGGATTTATACCCCGCTCTTCACTACCCAAAGGTGTCTCAGAGCGGCTTACAAACTCCTTTCCCTTCCCCTCCCTACAACAGACACCCTGTGAGGTAGGTGGGGCTGAGAGAGCTCTGACAGAAACTGCTCTTTTTCAAGAACAGCTGTGCCAGAACTATGGCTTGCCCAAGGTCATCCAGCAGGTGCAAGTGGAGGAGTGGGGAATCAAACCCGGTTCTCCCAGATTAGACTCCGCGCACTTAACCACTACACCCAACTGGCCACTGGACTCGAGCTTCGTTCTACTGCTTCAGACCAATCCGGCTACCCCACTTGAATAGGTTCAGTAAATGTTCTTGTTAAGTGTAGAAGAACTGAAACCAAAACCATTATATCACAATAATGTACTTTTAATAGTCATGACCACAGACATTTTAAGTGTTAGAATTTTATCTAAAGTATTCCTTAAATATATATAGGTGACATTCTTTGTTTTGGGGACACTCATGAAGCAATTCAGGACTTAGTGGCAAAGCAATAGAAGCTTGGCCAGTTCATGTTTATTCCAGGGAGGAATGTACATGAAAGTGGTATTGTGTCAACACAAAGACATTTATACTGGAAATAAAGAGTAACAAGTTTGCCAAGAAATGCCTTTGCCTCAGACAGACCAGAAAACCAACCTGAAAACAACCTGCACAGTACATTCAGACAGCCAGGGAACACGGAGAAACATTCCTCATCGCTAACTCACAGCCACAAACGACTTCTGCTGGAACCCTACCAAAGTCCAAGGCCTCTCTTTGAGATGTGTCACCCAAAAAGACAATGTGGCTGATCTTGGCATCTTGTTTCAATCTACTGTGTGCCTGTTTAAGTTAAAGTTTTACATCAGCGACAAATGTAAAGACAAAGACTTGGATCCTGCTAAGAAACTGCCACTGATGAAAGCATTTCTCTGCCTCTCCCTTTCTGCTGCAGCCCCAAAGCCCCCCCCCCCCCCCCCCCCCCACTCGCTGCTCCCAGGGAAACTGGAGGTCTGACAAAGGGTGAAAATCACCCTCCCCCATTGAGAAATGCAAAAATAATCAGCAGGATCCATCCTATCACCTTACGATGTGCCGACTGCGGAGGAGGACTTTTCATTGCATTTGGCTATCAATATGTAGGAAGAGAAAGAAAGCTCAGCTGCATTCGACCACGATATCTGGCAAGGCAAGTTGAGAGCTCAGAGCTGAATAAAAATGCTGCCATCCTTTTTTTCTCAAACTGGGGAAAATCCCCTAACTCGTGACACTCCTGTCGATGCTCCCTCCCCCCTCCCAACACTGGTGGAACACTTCCTTCCTGGAATTTTGCTAGACTGTCTAATTTCTTTGTTTTAACGCTATCAGTGGTAGCTAGCTGCTCAAAAGCGACACCCGGAACTGCTATCTTTGGAGAGGGCAGGGGTTTAGCTGGGGATGTTTTAATTATTACTGCAAGCCACCTTGAATGAAGAGGAAAGGCGGGATTGTAAATGTTTTAATAAACAAATAATAAATACCCTCCCATGCAAACTTTGCTTCAGTCACATGTACACTAGAGTATAACCACAACTGCTTGAGAAGGGAGACAGTAGACACCCCAAAGGAAAAACACAGCCAAATGATAGCATTCAGGGAAAGGAAGCCAGAATCTTAAAGAGGACACAACAGAATTGGACTCTAAGCTTCAGTCTAACAGCTGAGGCTGATTCAGGAAGGTATCTTTATGGAGGCAAGTTATCCTGTGAAGGCTGTCGGCTACGTTAGATGCAAACCCTTGACAGACTTACAGTACTTGGTCACATGGACCATGAACATAATCCAGTCTGCTCATTTCTGTGCTTGTACAAGGCTGGAAAGCCCATGCAACCCCAGGGAGTCCTATATTTCCGCTTTCCCGTGAGCTGCACAGCTGTAACAGCTTAGTGTGCTGCACACTTGTATATCCTCCTATAAATGACAGCAACAGGATTAGGATACACAACCTTTGTGCCCACCTGCTTTGAGCAGAAAGACAAGCCTAGCTTTTCCGCTGAGTAGTTATTTTTGTGTTTTTATGATCTGACTCCTATTTCGTCACCTGCGTATGGTTTATTTTGCCACATTCACATCCCACTTTCCTTCAAGAACTCGGACTGGAGGACAATGCATGGATGAAGCCACTGAGTGAGACCTATAGCAGAGGTGAGGAGCAGCCGATATGTTAATTCAGCAAGGGTGCTTAAGGACTGGCCCCAAGAGGCTATTTGAACCTTGCTTCACATACTCAGTGGAGCTACAGGGGCTCAAGTGGTTAAGATGCTGTAGTCTGGAAGGTCAGTAGTTCAGCAGTTCGAGACCCAAGTGCTGCATGACGGAGTGAGCTCCAGTCTCTGGTTCCAGCTCCTGCCAACCTAGCAGTTCGAAAGCAAGCAATTGCAAGTAGATAAATAGGTACCACTTCGGTGGGAAGGTAACAGCGTTCCATGTGCCTTGGCGTTTAGTCATGCTGGCCACATGAACACGGAAACATCTTCGGACGGTGCTGGCTCTTCGGCTTGGAAATGGAAATGAGAACCACAACCCTAGAGTCAGATTCGACTGGCTTTCGAGCAAGGGAAACCCTCACATACTCAACCTTGTAACTACCACAAGTACACTTAAGTATTTGGCACTGAATCATTAGGACTCTTGAAGCTATGCCACTGGGTAAATAGCACTGAACACATGCCCAGCTTCAACAGCGTTAGGGCTAGTAAGTTCAAACACAGAAAAACAGTCCAGGAGCACCAGTCTTTAATCTGAGAGAAATGTACGATCAGAGTGATATTGAGTTTAGAGTGTCCAGCTCGTATCCAGAAGAACCAGATTCAAATCCTCTGCCATGGAAGCTTGATTGGTGACCCTGGGCCAGGTATTCTCAGCCTAACCTACCTTACAGGATTCTTGACAAAAAAAAAAATGGAGGAAGGCAGAATGATGGTGTAAACTGCTCTGGATCTCCATTGCAGAGAGAAGCAGGATGTAGATACTAATAAATTAGGGGAATACAGTAAAAACCCCACAATAAATCTTTTGTTGGGGTAAAAGAAGACAGGCCCAGGAGTTCCTAGTCCTATTAGGAAAATCTCCATCTTTCAGTTCTTAAAAGATTTTCACTCCAGAGAATTCACATATTATTTTCAAATCTCATGATTGTTGTCATCTATAATCTCACAGGTCTTGCACAAAACTGAATAGATATTCGGGGAGGGCCTATGGTTCAGTGGCAGAGCATACGCTTGGCATGCAAAAGGTCCCAGGTTCAATCGCAGGCATCTCCAGTTAAGGATCAGGTCATTGGTGATGTGAAAGACTTCTGCTTGAGATCTTGGAGTGCCGTTGCCAGTCTGAGTAGGCAATATCGACTGATGGACCAATGGCCTCACTCAGTATAAGGCAGCTCTATGTGTTCATGTGTGACCAGAGGTCTTTGCATATTTACTAGGCAGGAAGTCTCACCGAATCTAATGGAACTTACACTTAAGTGAATGTGCATAGGATCACATCCTCCATTATCTGAAACCTTCAGCTGGCGAAGCAGGGATGATATGATGTGGCTTCCAACCTATGTGCCTCCTTGTGTAACACCCTTAAGCTTTGCTTGATGCTTCTCCCACTTTTAGATGCCATTCAGAAATCCCATGAATAGCCCCTTTCATGCAACAAGGCACAGCTATTAAATGCTTTAATTTCTATACTGGTAGCTCTGTTTATCCTCCCACATTTCTGGAAGCAAACAGCTTCCCAAGATGAAAGTCTCTGCATACTTGCCTTTCCTCCTAAATTTTAATCAGACAGCAATAAATCTACCTATTACAGGCCTAGGAGAAGATCTTAAATTCAAACAGCTGTTTACACATACTAACTTTTTAAATATACGGATGTTAGTGTTAGGCGTCCTAAAAATACTAGGCCATCTTGCCTCTCTGGGCTGCTACACATTCTATGTCATCCTGCAGTATACCACATGACCTTGAGACTCAGCCAGAGCAGATTAGTCAACCTAGGGAAGAAATATTTCACAACCACTTACAGTTATTTCCCATTCAAATACGACAGAATAGCCTTGCTTGTAGAAGGGAAGGGGGGCCGGTAGTATCTTCAAGTCGTGACAGAGAGCAGCACCCACCACCTGCCCCTTCTGTTGATATGGAAACAAGATCTTGACAGCAGGGATTCTCTTGCACACCAAGCAGCACCAATCAGCACAAGTGATGAACTGGCCTAGCAAGCACAGGCTTTACGGGGTCTTTTGTTGCTTGTGCCATTTTGCACCTTTGCACAAACAGGGGAGAATTCCCTTTCCATGCAAGCCGTGAAGCCTACTTCTAGGTCCCTGTTACTCAAAAGCAAAAGCCACTGTGCATTGTACGGCTCACTTCCAAGTAAAGGACCTTAGGCCTGCACAAGGCCTTGGACTTGATCAGTAACCAAAGCACCGCAAAACTCTGGATAAAAGGAGACCTTCTAGCCTGATCTCCTTCCCTTGCAAAAACACCTGCCCTTTCAGAACCTCTCAAATTTGCCCCAACATAGTCCACACAACTGGCACTGCAGAACACCCCACAACTGATTCACAGGAGCAAAAGCATGAGAGCCAGCCACTCCAACTCAGACACGAAGGCAGCGATTGAGGGCAAAGGGGCAATCTTCATTAAACGCCCTTGAGGGGAGAAAAGGCAAAATAGAAAACCATACGGAAGCATTCCAGAGGAATAAGGAAGGGGGGACACACTGAGAACAGAGCCTAGACAGACAGTAGAGAAAGGGAAGGAATTCAGCCTCCCCAGAAAAAGAATACATAGCCGGGGAGAAAAGAGGAGACCGATCCTGGACACCAGAAAAGGGACAAGAAGGAGCAATGCTATTGTTGCATTGCTATTAATTAATTTAACCTCATCCGCCCACCAAGAAACTTAGGGCTGCGTATGTCGCTTCCCCAATTCACATTAGATCCTCGTAACAGGCCAGTGAGGTCGTCCAGGCTGAGGGAAAAAAACGAGTTGCTCACTAAGCCCGGCGGGGAGCCTGCAGCTACTCTGCACACACTCGGGGGCACTGTTTACACTGCAGAAGCAAAAGACCAGTTTCTCAGACTGAGCCCTAGGCAGAACCCGTACCCACTCCACCACACCACCGTTTCTCAGTATGGGCCGCCCAGAACGAGAAGGCTCAAGGGGGGGGGGGCGCCGGTACCCGCCGGAGCCGGTCCATGACAAGAGTCCCGCCACCATTGGGGGGCAAAGGTAGGAAGGAGGGGTTCCAGCACAGACACCATCCCCGCCTGCCCCGGCTACTCACTGAGACGGGGCTGAGAGAGGTAGTCGCGGGTGATGGCAGCCGCCTGCTCCCGCGCGCCGCCGCCGCCGCCGCCGCCGCTCAGCTCGGACACAGCTCCGTTCACCATCCCTCGGATAGCCCGCAGCGCCGCCATCTTATTTCCCTGTCTAGGCTGCAGCGCCACTGCGCAGGCGCTGAAATAGGCTCTCTTGGTTCCCCGACCCCTCCCTCCTCTTGCTCAAGTCCGACAGACCCGGAAGTGCCGGGCGGGGAAAGGAAGGGCGGGGGGGGGGTGGCAGTGCGGGGCCGGGGAAAGGAGCTGGCCAGCGTGCTGAGGGGGAAGGCCGAGGAGAACCCCGGCGGGGCTAGCTGGGGCGGAGGAGGGAGGCTGTGCCGGGGAAAGGCGGGAACGCATGCTTAGCGACGGCTTCCTTCCAGCCCCAACTCAGCAGCCGTGGGTGCTTTCACAAATGGTATCCCCGAGCATGTGCAGAGCTGACCTCCGATGCAGGGTGACTTCACTCGAAGCCTCAGCATGTGCCTCCTCTCCTCTGTTGCAGAGTAATCTCAAATTCAGATCATAACACCAGATCTAACATAAAATAATAAAATGTAGTGCCCCTGAGCATGTACAGAGTGCCTCCTCTGCTGCAGAATAACGTCAACCGGACCCAAACATAAGTAGTTTCAGCGGACAGCTATGTTGGACTGCAGTAGAACAACGTTTAAGTCCAGTGGCACCTTTAAGACCAACAAAGTTTAATTCTGGGGATAAGCTTTCCTGTGCATGCACACTTCATCAGTTTGTTCTATTGCTTCAGACCAACCTGGCTACCCACCTAATCTATCTCTGCCTATATGTAAGGCTTGAGGAAGTCTGTTTCAATGTATCTGAAGAACTGTGCATGCACATTAAAGCTTATACCCAGATTTAAACTTTGTTGGTGTTACAGGTGCCACTGGACTCAGTTTTTGTTCTTTTGCGTCAGACCAACATGGCTACCCACCTGAATCTATCTGCAGTAGAACAATTAGATCTGAATCCAATAGCACCTTACAGGCCAACAAGATTTTCAGGGTATGAGCTTTTGAGAGTCAAAGGTCCCTTGTCAGACACCGATAGGAATGGAGATCTGAGTCTTTTTATCCCAGTCAGAAGGTGGGAGGAGTGTTGTAAAGAATGTTTGTAAAGGATGCAAAGGTATAATACACTTTGTAGATTCAGGTGGGTAGCTGTGTTGGTCTGAAGCAAAAGAACAAAGTCTGAAATGTTGTTGGTCTTAAAGGTGCCACTGGACTCAATGCATATTGTAATCAGCTTGATTAGGGGAGAGGGGAAATGCCTGGAAGCAGAAAATTAGCATCTGTAGTGAGATAAGAATCCTGTGTTCCTATTCAGTCCTGGGTGTGTGTGTGTGTCCATTGTTCTGAACTTGTGAATGAACTCAAGTTCAGCAATCTCATATTTTAATTTCCCCGTGAGGTTTCTTTGTTTGAGGACTGCCACTCTTAGGTCAGCAATGGAATGACCTGGAAGATAAAAATGTTCTCCCGTTGGTTTTTGAGTTTTGCTGTTTTTAATGTCAGATTTATGTCCATTTATTCTTTCACACAGGGAATGACCTGATTTCTGATGCAGAGAGTTTGATGTCAACCCATCTGACCGGGATAAAAAGAGTCAGATCTCCAGTCCTACTTGTGTCTGAGGAAGGGAGTTTTAACCCTTGAATGTTTATACCCTGAAAATCTAGTTGGTCTTTAAGGTGCTACTAGACTCAAATCCAAATACATAAAGTAATAAAGTTCAGTGCCACCTGTCCACTGCTACAGAGTTTCCTTATCTGGGTCCCAACATATAAAGTAAAAAATCTGATTGCCCAGGAGCATGTGGAGAATTCTGTCTGTCCTCTGCTGCAGAGTAATGTCAACCATAAATATAAACAGTGTTTCTGAGAATCAAGTAGAATAAAGAGCAGTAATGAATCAGCATGTTTTGCTTCCTTTTTCTGGGTCACAAAAGTCATCTTTTCCTTCTCGGGGGAAAAAAAAGAAAAATAAGAAGAATGGCAAGTTTGTGATGTCTACTTATAAATTTTTCAAGTAGAATAAAGATTTTTTAAAAAATAATAAATTTTGTTTATGTTTAAATACAGCTTCATCACAAGTTAAGTTTAAGAGAAGATATGTTTTCCTCCAAGATCTGGTCTGTCAAAATATTTGCTTACTAAACATTATATCAAATTCTTGATGCCATGTAGAAAGAGCACCCATGTAAGGACACCACCTATCAGCCCACCTTTGAATATAATGCAGGAGGTTTCCCATTAAGATATCTGTGATAGCCTGCATACTGTGTCAGAACCATATTCAATTTCCTTACTCTGTGATCCAGTCAGTAAATTATGATGCTGTCCTAGAACAGTACGATATACAGTAACCAGGTTACCTACTCACAACCACACATACATCCTAAAGTACTCCCTTAATACAGGATCTACTTTAATACCACTTCTGTCCATGAAATACAAATATTCTCTTCCCCACACAACGCAATTTTATGGTCTCATTTTCTATACATGGTAGAGTTCAGCATACTGTAGTGTTTAGAGTATTGGATTAGGATCTGGAAATCCCCACTCTCCTTGTTGGGTGACCTTTGACCAGGCACACTGTCTCAGCTCATCCTACGTCACAGGGTTGTTATTGTGATGATAGAATGAAGGAGCAGGGAATGGTGTTTTAAGGTGCTTTGGGTTATCATTAGGGTGAAAAGCAGGATAGCATAAAATAAACAAACAACATCTACTTCATAGGCAGAACATTTCGCAAGCAGTGATTGTTATTTCTTTCCTCAATGCACACATCACTGAATAACCCATTGATACAGCACCTAACACAGAGCAATTGGGCTTTTGCGCCCTTCATTTAATGAGTATATCCCTTCATGCAAGCAATATCCCTGTTGCGTTGTATTTTCCTGACTGGCAGTTAATGTGGGGTTCAAAGTCCAGAGTTTTCAGAACTCCCTTTATTTAAATCAGGTTGCTTATTCTCCAAAGGCTTCTTGACCTTGTGTTTATTTCAGTAATAAAACCAACAGTGAGAGATTAACAGTCACAGAGTTTGCATCTAAAGCAACAGATTCTACTTCTAGGATCAAATGTGTTAAAATACTGAGCAAGTATGGTGCAGGGGTTAGAGCCCTGGACTAGGATCTGGGAGACCCACATTTGAATCCCCATTTGACTGAGAAACTCACTGAGTAACCTTGAGCCAGTGAAATTCCTCTCAACCTACTGCAAAAGATTGCTATCAAGAGAATGGTGGAGAAGGTCCATCAGTGGCTATTAGCCACAAGGTATAGATAGGGGCTCTGGGGCAAGTGATGCTCTGTCTTCTTGGTGCTTGGGGGGGGGTCAACAGTGGGAGGGCTTCTAATGTCCTGGCCCCACTGGTGGACCTCCTGATGGCACCTGGTATTTCTGGCCACTGTGTGACACAGAGTGTTGGACTGGATTGGCCTGATCCAACATTGGCGTCTCTTATGTTCTTATGTTCTTATAAGAAAATGATGTGTACGACTTGAAGTGCTTGGAGGAATAAAAAAGTACTAGAGAAATACATAAAACAAGAAAAAAACAAAGGGAAGAAAATGTTCCTGGGCATGATGGAAGACCTAGTTCTGCAGACTGAGACACTCTAAAATGGCCCATAGGAGGCATGATAGAGACTTAATTCAGTTATTTATTTATTTTTAGATTTACTTCAGTTATCTCCTTGCATGCTCCAGAGGTCTCTCTGCTTCACAAACTCTAAGAAGCCACTTTTCTTCGCAGTCCCACAGGAGAAGGCCAATAAACACTCAGGATCAGAGGCCAGTGGCAGAAGATGGGCGCACTTCTGCCAACTGCCTTTCCCTGTCTCCTGAGGCTTTTCCCCTCTGGAACTTCTTCAGACTTTCTCCACTCACTCAGGAGAAGAAGCCCTTGCTTCTTCCCTTGCTCTCCTTTGGAGTCCACTCTCCTCCTTCTCCTGTCCCGTTGCCAGGCAACCTCCCCAGCCTCTCTGCAGAATGCACCTCCCTCCAGGGGACAGTGTTTTCAGACCACTAGGGCGAAAACACATCACAAACGTTCAAATAATAGCTAAATATTTCCACAAGGCTCACACAATAAATGTACATTTGTTTCTGGCCTGTTGCATGTAGCCCACAATGTACACCCCAACTTCCTCTCCAGGCAGGTCTGACATCATGGGGACGTGGTATTTGTAACAAAACTGCAACTGGGAAAACACAGCCCTCCTGCCAGATGGTGCGTTCAATGCTCTTGTGTTTGCTGTACGTGGTAAATGGTTGTGTGTCACCTACTCAAATAGGATTTGTCTCTCTGTGCTTGTGATCTTCAGTACAGCATTCAGTACAGCATTGCCTTAGTTGGCCATGAGGGGAACTGGGCATGTCTCACAGGAGAGACTAGTCATCTTTTTACCAGCAGCATAAGGAGAAACACTCTTCGCTGGAGGGGGAAATGAAATGAAACTATCTCAGGACAAAGATGATTGACTTCTGTGTGACCTCAGCTTTCATTGCACAAGCTCTGCAAAGCAAACAGGCAGGCATGGGACCTCTTCCTGAGAATACTGACATCTGTATTTGTAAAGAAAACGCTAATCTTCTTGAACACAAAACACCCAACAAAATCCTTTCCTTTTTCTCATTTTTGCATATTTGTGTGGCTAAGGTACTCTACACAGGCTCTGAAATAAACAATGTTACATGCAATTGAAGAAAAAAAAGTCACAGGGAGCAATACAACTTCCCCTCGTCAGCTCCTCCATACATGCCCACTCCATTGGGTAAAAAGAAAAAAGGGGCTGGATCCAGACCTACTGTGGCCCCGGTCACACGGCAAAGTTGCTGCAGGAGAGGCACGGATGGTGGGCGGATTATCCGGGCACGATCACACCCCAACATCTGGGAAGTGGAGCGCACCCGTGGCTTACCGCCGAAACTGCGCGTTAAAAAGGTAGTACCTCCAAAGTACTAGTAAATGTTTGCCACGGGCTGCCTCCAGACTCCCGTGGTGTGATTGCGCCACCACGCGGCATTCCCCTCCGGTCCCTTGTTTACCCGCCGGCTCCGAGGGAAGGACCCGTGGTGT